TACCTACAATGCCCTTTTTTCAGTTATAATAATTTTAAAAAATGTTAAATTTTTTATTGACATTATTCAACTCTTTTCTAGTATTTATTTTTAATATTTATATATTTTTATTTTTATTTTTTATATATAAATCTTAAATAAATAAATATTATATTATATATTTTTAACTAATTTTTAAATAATAAATTTTTAAAATCAAAAAAATTAAATCGAAACAAATCAAATTACATGAAATTGATTTAATTTAATTACAATATCATAATTCATTCAAACTAAATTAAATCAAATCACAATTTTTTTTCAATCCAAGTGACTTTTAAGCCCAAAAAATTATACCCAAACGTGGAGGGTATCAAAACCTATAGAAGAAAGGAGAATTCAGAAATTCTCAACTTTCAACATGAGGTAGAAAGGTACCCAGTTTTTAACAGATACAACTTGTGATTGGTTAGTAATACAAAATTTTTTGCATCCACTATACACAAAAATTAACTTTTAGAAATGAACCCAAAATTTATTTCAATGTCACATGATCATTCAATACAAATTTGATTGTAGAGGTGGTAAACCATCTAGACTCTAGAGGGACTTTTTAAAAAGAAAAATCTAAGTATCTCCTATTCATGGAGAAAAGTAGAATCGAAGTAGATAAAAATATATCTTTTTAGTGGATCCCACAATATTCTAAGTTTTTTTTTTTTTTTTTTTTTTGTTGCAAAATCTCTTCATCCATGAATTTTTTTTTTAAATCGTAGGCTCCGCTACTGCTTTTTTCTTCTTCTCACTTCTCATCTCCTCCTTCTCCAAATAATTAAAAAAAAAAATATTACACTTTTTTTCTTCTAAAAAATCTTTTAAAAAAGCATTGAGTTAATGTAAGTGACTACATAAAATTTGTAATTTTAAAAAATTCAAATGATTTTGTATGTTTGATATTGATTCATTTATTTTAAGAATAACTTTTAATTATTTCACATGATAACTCATGATTTATTATAAATTTTAATAATTTAATTATTAAATTAAATTTTTTTAATGAACTAATTAATCTATAAAATTTTGTAAAGTTTAAAAATGATTTGATTATTTGTTACATAAATTAAAATGAATAATTATTTGTAAAAATATATTATTATAAAAGTTAAATAATTTTTAAATTTCATAAAATTTTATAAATTTATCTATTCAAAAAATTTAAT